TATCATATCAAGAAGAATTTTATTATCATTAAACCATTCTTAGACCTCAATCCATTAGTATTCATTAAATGGAGGCAATATAAATTTAAATTATCAAATTAAAAATATAAATTTAATATGACATTAAAAAAATTTTAGGAATCTGGTTTGATTCGAATCAATTCAAATTGAGTCACAAACAGTGTTGTGACCGGAAACTCTTTTGGCTTCCTGAAACATTTCGGAAAATGAACTTACACTAAAACTAAAACTAAAACTAAACATAAACTATTAACCTAAAGTAGTTTTGGGTGGTTTCTGTTAGTTTCTGTTTCAGGTTTTCCCTAAACTCAGAGTTTTGGGTCACAACACTGGTCACGAATTGAATCAAATTGACTACAGATCAAATCAAATCACTCTCAAATTCAATTCAATTCAATTCGTTCAGAGCCTTAATAATGATAAAATTTTTTTCCAAATGCTTCTATTGATAAGGGTAAAAAATTTTGGATAAAGCCATGCATTTCATTTATATTCTTAAGTCCACCAATAACACCAAAAAAATATCAGTAGTGAGAAGTCCACCTGATTTAGCAACAAAAGCTACCTGAACTCTTCTCAATGGCTTCCACTTTTAATCCTATCACAGACATGGTGACACCAACATTATTCATATAAAGCCATTCAATTGAACAAAGTAAAATTGTATACAATGGTCTTCTAGTGTTATAATCTGATTAATGAAACTTATCTTTGTATACTTCAATAGCATTTTTAGTTTCATCAAATATAATTGGTATTCATTTTTGATTATTAATGTTGTTAATTAATTTTCTGTTTATTTTTTATAAAATTCTCAATTCATTATATGTATAATCTTGAAATACTTTTGAAAGCTCTACCTAAAAATCATCATGTCCTATATCAATATTAGAGGGTAAAGGCTGTAATAACAACCACTTTCTTGACTCTAAAAACTCTCCTTGAGCTTTAGCTTTTTTAAGAAGTTTTGACAAAATAAACAATTGAGCTGCCAGTGCATAATAAATATACTTGATAGCCATATCAGTATTTGCCCTTGGATCATCTTTCTTAAATTCATGTCCCATTTCATGGATAACCACATTCAAGTCTTTAAATCCAGGGTTGTCATGATCTGCAAGCATTGTAAAATAGATACCATATACTTGGCATAGCAATTCAAACAAGTTGTGAGTCTCTCCACTTTTTCTTAAAATCATTAGCATCACAGAATGGTATTTGTAATTATACGTATGATTATGCATATAAAAAATTTTACCCAGAGGTTTCAAGCATAATAAACCATCTCCGACTCAGCCTTTTCCTTTAACTTATTCATATAATTTTTATTAACATAACCACCATTTATTATCCCTTCATTATTAGCTTCTGGCAAGTTGTGCAAAAGGAAAGAAGGTTATTTATCACATTGTTGGGTTGTACTGGAATTTTAAGATTGTTAATGTATTCTGAATAAGGATGTTCCTTTCCAACATTAAAGAGAGTCAAATTATATTCTTCCTTCAAAAATTTATCCCAAACATTAAAGTTATCTTTCCAGAATTTTTTTGATTTTTGTTTTTACATCTTAAAAAGAAAGAACAAAAAAAAATCAGCATTATTATTGATCAGATGAAAGAACAATTAATCAATGTATTACAGAAATAGTTTACATAAAAGCAACTTACCTACACCAACACCAACTAAAAAAAGGGTAATTCCAAAACAAATAATAATAGAAGAAAACAATTTAAAAATTTAAGTTCAAAGTATTGAAGAAAAAAAGCATAAGTTAGTTAAAGTTGTATACAGTATATAAACGAAATGGAATGAATGGAAAATAATTTTTGTATATTTTTTTACACAATTTGTTCAGTGCAGGTTTGGGGATACTCAAATGCAGTCATGGTACCTACCCTACCCTTTTCCCTTGATATCTCTAACCAATTCCGCAATTCTTTCAGCTGGTCCCATTTTTAGCCCAACTTGCATGAATTTGTTCATATTCATCTCAAGGAAGTCACGGCCAGCAACCTTATTCTTTTTAATTATGTCAATGTCATCATCGCCAAGGTCTAACTCATCTTTTTTAGACTAAGTACATAAAAACTTCAACTCGCTTCCATTTCTTAACTTCTTTGACTGATGGAAAAGGATTATCAGACATGATTATTTATATATTTTGTTTTTGATTGAATAAAAAAGATTTATTAAAAATTTAGTAATATAGATAGATGGTCAAACAATCAGATCGAGTATATACAATCAGATCACGCATGTTGAATCACGTCATTGAAATAATTTTTCAAGTCACACAATATACGTATTAATCTGAAAAAACACTCATTATAATAGCCGCACTGGAGAAAGATCTCATAGAATACATTTATGGATTTCCCTCCGATTTTCGTGAGGTAACGGTCAAAGAAGAATACATTGGTGGGGTATTATCTTATTTACCTGAAAAAATGAAAAATAAGGATATGGCAAAAATAAGAGGTTTATATCTTACACTGAAAAATTTTGCGAGCTTTGATGTCTATGAAAAATAGTATTCATAGTAGATTTAAAACTACATTGCATTTTTATTTTCTGACATTACAAAATCAATATCCTCTTGAAACGGAATATGCAAAAAAAGATCTGATTTGTGTTATTTGTTTATTTCGCTAATATTTCATTCCCCTTAACAATACCAGTAAAAAGCATATTATTATAGATTTTCATGGCTTTCCGCAAGGCAACGTCTGTTATTTCTTCAGGAATTTGTTTCCAAATTTCTTTGATTAGAGCACGAGATCCTACTTTACCATTATCCTTTTTTAGATTCTTGTATCGTTTATATAAAACACCCCATAATCAAAATAACTATTGATAACCTCTCTATTCGTAACATCATTTCTAGATTCATCACGGTCAATCTTGCTAAATAAATATAAAAAAATGATTGCATTTTTTTCGGGCGCACTCTCTTCTATAATCCCTCCCGGTAAATTGTGGAAGTTTTTCAGTAGATGATAATTCATTGATAAGTTTTCTTAGGTTTGATGGATCTTCTCTATTAACTGCTTTCGGTTTTTTACCGGTGGGCTTGTTAACAGATTTAGTCTCACCAACACATTTGGATGGTAAGATCCTTATAATCGATGTGTCAAATTTCCTGCTTTGCAATTGGTTATTAGCGGATGGGTCTTCCATGATTGTGTCTAGATATGATGAATGGTTTGTTTTTTTGTCGAGAATAATTTTTGATGAAATATTGTGTGTTTCTTGAAGAGGATTTAGAAGCTTCTTATATTTTAGACGTTGTATTCTGATAAATTAGTTTAAATGATGTTAGAATATAAGAGAATTAGTGGTTTTATTGTCAATCTTACAACTAAGGTTAAACAGAAGAAGCCGCACGAATGCAATAAAAGTTATTCAAAAGCGATATTAGCATCGTAAAATATTTGAAACAGGATTTTACAGGAAAGATACAAACTTGTCATTACTATCACCAGATATGATTGTCTGGTAGAATGGAAGCAAGAGAAGCATTATTATGTAGCACATCATCCATCCTACTGAAATGGATAAAGAATTTGAAGTCAAGGATTATTCACCCATTACTATTGTGATTTTGCTATCAATAACATAATAAATTCAAATAAAAGCTTTATTACTACTACAACTCCATTTATAAAATTAAAATCACACCAAGATTGATAACAACACTTCGTTAACTTCATTATCGAGATCAGCAGTAAACAAGAATTTTTAAATATTATATATTTATAAAAAAATTTAATAATAAAAATATATACTCAAATTTTCATAATAATAATAATGATGATGATGATGGGGGATGATGATGACGACGATAATAATAATAATAATAATAATAATAATAATAGTAATAGTAATAATAGTAATAACAATAAAGAAAGTTCTTAAACAATTTTAAAAATTTTTCAATTTATTTTAGGATTATATTTAAAAAAAAAAAAAAAAGGAAAAAAAGAATAATTCATAAATTTCCAAATGAATGATCAGATGATACTTGTGGATATTTTTTCTTGAAGGCAATACGAGATTTTGCAGCCTATTTATTATGATCAATTAAAATGAATTGGTGGGTGGATGGATAAATAAAAATGATTAATGATATATTTCTTTTTTTTTAAAAAAAAATTTTTGAACAAATCACCTCTATATATTCCTGAACAACTATAAGTTCATGTTCGGTTCTCGGAAATTCTTGATACTTTTCAAAATATTGTAAAGCTCTTTCCCAATCATTTTTCGTCAATAAAACTTCGCCCATAATTAAATTTGCTAGGTCACTATCTGGATCGACTATATTATTATAAAATTTTTTTAAAGGAAAAAATATTACTATGCAATCAAATATTTAAAAAATTTTTAAAAAAAATATAATACAGACTTTCCAAAGCTCGTTTACAATGATCCTCGGCAGCATTAAAATTGTTAGTAGAATTAGGATGTAAGTAAAGCATTGCTTTATTTATTAAAGGCAACACAAATTTTCCTTTAGTATATTCAATAGCCTTATCAAATTTTTCCATTCCTGAAGTAATATCACCGCTTTCAACCAACAGTTCACCATAATAATTGTAAATTTCTGCTGAATCACTAAACTTCCTTATTGCATCTTCACAAACTTTAATTGCATCTACTATTCCTTTAGTTTTATATTTGCACAGAGCAAGCTGTACGTAAGCAAAAACAAACTCTGGATCAAGCTCTATTCTACGTTCATAATCTTCAATAGCCTTTGAAAATTCATTATTTAAAAAGTATACTATATAGTTAAAACATATAGAATTGAAAATATTTTTTTAGGCTTTTAAATAATTAAATTTTCAATAAATGCAAAAAAAAAATCGTTTTACCTTGTCCTCTAAATAATAGAAATAATAGAGAAATTAAGAAAATAGATTAAAAATTAATAATGTATTATTAATCTATTATTAATAGATAATGTTTGCTTACCTGTGATAATATATATCAGGATCATCCTTATCAATTTCAATAGCCTTTGAAAACTCCTCCAAGCATTCTTGAAAAGGTTCTAACGAACCAAAGATAATATTAGAAGTCAATCCAAAATTATTAATTATTAATTAATAAACCCTTAGTCGAATGTAATCAAATTCTACACTTACTGTTTTGTTCCATGTAAATAGTTGCACGTTTGATATAAATTTGTACATAATTAGGTGACAGCTGAAGAGCCTTATCAAAATAGCCTAATGCATCTTCTATATCACCCATTAAATAGGCAAAGGTCCCTCGCATATTATAAGCATAATCAAGATGTTCGCATTTGAGTTTAATGGCTTTATCAAAAGCTTCCACTGCATCATAGTATTTTTGCTGCAACAAGAACTCTTGTGCATCATTAAAATAATTATCACCAGTTTTATCCTCTTGAGAAATTGCAGGTTGAGTATTTATCACTTCAAAAGTTGCTGAAAAATCAAATTTGGCAATTCATCAATATATATTGAAAAAAATAAAAATTTTGTAGATAGTAGTTATTATTGTAAATATTAAATCTACCTTTTTTAAATGTTCCTAAATGTAAAGAAATAAGTGCTGGTGATGGAAGACGTTTTGGTCTAGCCTTTGTTAATAAAATCAATGCCATAAATTCATTCATATTGTATATATGTATACAATTATTGAAATTAAAAAAATATAAGTGTGTATATACAATATAAAGAATTGAAAAGTATAGAAAATAACCTGCATTATTTCTTGAGTTTTAATTGTAGCTAATGTCTTTAAAAGCCGTTCAATAGCTTTAACAGCCTTTTCATTTTTGTAATCATTAATTATGCATGCAGCAGTAAAATCTTTTAAACAAATAAATATTAAAATAAATAAATAAATAAATTTAAATAAATAAAAAATCAGATATAATTAATCACCATATAAAGATTCTTCAAATTGTGAAAGTTCTTCATAAGCCATTGCTCTTCTGTTCAATGCTTTGACATAATAAGGATCCATTTCCAATGAGCTATTGCAATCTTCAATAGTTTTCTGAAATTCTTTTTTGCTAAAATAACATGCGGCTCGATTGCCATAGAATATAGGATCTTGATTAAATGCAAGTGCTTGTGTATAGAGCTTAATTGCCTTTTCATAATTTCCTTTACCAAAAGCAGTATTTCCACGAACTTTAAGCAATTGTGAAGCTGTTACTCGTTTCTATTAACAATATTTAAATTTGATCTATAAAAAGTATAATTGTACATATGTACATAGATATATACAAAAAACATTCAACTTATAATTACCTCTTTTGGTAAGGCATTTATTTGATCAATGGTATATCTTTCATATTCTTCAGCTTCCGCATCCTCTTCTCTGTTTCTTGTAGTTTCTAAAGCAAAAAAAAAAATTTAAAAATTAAAATAATAGGCTAATTTGCTTTTTAGAAAAAAATAATTTTTAAAATGTCACATATATTTGTGAAATCCACCTGTTGATTCGTTTTTTCCGCTTGATTTATTGGTTTTTTGTGCTTTTCTGCGAGAGGTAGAACGTGTGCTTTTTGGTTTAGGTGGTTTAGGTGCTTGAAGGAAATATAGACCAACTCCAGTTAAAACCACAGTGGTAAGTCCTAATCCAATATAAAACACATACCCCTTATTGCTAAAATATTCTTTAATGGAATTAGCATAAGGTGTTGTTTGGTTAGTTTTTATGGTAGCATCGAGCGCGACATTAGAAGAGGAAGACATATTTTTGCATTATTTTTATATATAAAAAAAAAATACAAAAATTTTAAAATTTATATCAGATTTTCAAGTGACGTGTCGGAAAAATTGTGATTATTCAAAAAATTAATAATAAAGTTTTTGAATTATCACCAAGGGTGCCATAAATCATGTGATTCTTTTAATTACATCTAAGCTCACCCCGTCCTTATATGTAATTTTTCTGCTTTTGTTCGTTATAGAGAGAGAAATTAAATTAATAAAAAATTTGAATCGGGGATAAAAGGGAAGTTCATTATAGAGGTTCGGTATAGAGGGCTTAGATTGTAATAGTAGCGAGAAGGGGAAAACTATATTATTCGAAAAAAAATTTGTGTAATAATAATAATAATAGTAGTAGTAGATAGAAAATGAAAAAAGTCATATTATTAATTAGAGGCTGTGAAACTTAAAAATTAAATATGGAACTTGGACTAGGATCTCAGAACTGAAATCAACTCAATTTGTATGAATTTGTTGTGAATTACTATTACTACTACTACTACTACTACCACCACCATTATTACTACCATCAATATCACAAAGACTTGCAGTTTTATAAATTTCCTCAAATGGGATATTTGTTACTTTTCATATACATGCTTTTTCAATTATTTTAGTAACAAGCTCATTAACTTAATTTTTTATTTATCTTTAACTTTATATTTTTTTATTCAACATGTCTGTTACATGAGTTATCTTATAATCCATATTTATTTATATTAATATCTGATTACACAGATTTTTTATTACACGAAATTTACTTGGTCTCAATTTCACAAAAATTGGAATTTTCAAAATTCTAAAGCTCTGCCAATTTTAAGAAAAAAACCAGCTGATGAGTTTTGAAGCTTGAGTCATTGAACAGTGGAACTTATCGTTAACTTTTTTAAAATGATACAAAAATTTTTTGTTTTAATATTTCGAAGCTGACCAATAAGCAATTAATTGCACCAGAAGTTTTTTTCGGGAAAAAAAATATTAATCCTGGCTGAATGATCAAATGATTGTTTGATGGTTTTATTCATCTTAATACTTACAAATCTAGGTAGTTTTCGGGTTTATACATTTCATTATTATTATAAATGGAAATGTACGAATTTATTGGTTTCATTAGAATTTTCAATTGCTAGGGCTTTTCAAAAATTGTTCTATTTGTAAAAATTTCAGATGCTTTAGTCAAGAGGCATTTGTAAAACACTGCCATGGAGAGAATATGGGTTAAGAATGGTTGACGAAATACTTTGCAAGACGGGGAATTATTTCTCAGACGGTTGTTAATTTTCGCCGCATTTGACGAAATGTGACGAAATTGACGAATTAAACCAAATTTTCATAGCCAATGATCAATGGTATGACTAAATATTGATTTTATATATTAACTAGATGAGTTGCATGAGATAAAGAAGAAGAAGTAGAGGAAGTAGAATTCTCAGATTGTGATGACTGTGTAATTATATTTTGATTTGTTGAAAAATATTCATCAAGTACATGATGTGAAACTTTGGTATATTTCTTAAGGTGTTGTTCACAGTGATTTGCAGCAGCAATCAATTTATGTGAACAATAATTACATTGAGCTCTTTCTTGTTTATAAGTGACCTCATGGCCAAGCTTTGTAAAACAAGACCAAATTTTACTAAGCAGAGGCATAAAAAACAATTTTTTTTTAAAAAAACTTCATGCAACATTACATATATTCATTAAGTGCAAAACCATAAAATGGAAAACAATAACAACAATAACAACAATGATAATTGTTAGTTGGGACATTATGCACATTTTAAAAAAATTCAGTGCGCATTATGCAATTTTGCCCATCTCTAAGTGGAAGGAGAGTGTGTGTGAAATCTATTTAATTGTTTTGTTGCATCATCATTTTAAAATATACAATTTAATTTTATTAGCTTTCAAAAAAAAAAAAAAAAAAATCATACAAGTAAGAGAGATAAAGCGTGTTGGTTTTATGAAATTTCTTTTGATGTATGAAGACAAATTAGGCGTTTATTTTGCACAATAAATATTATAAATCAATAAATCATTTAGATTTGAATTTCATTGATAAAAAAAAGATATTGTTTATTTTTTATTTTTTATTAAAAGACTTTGTTTTGCCTTTGACAAAAAATCAAAAAATAAATAATGGATTTTCATTCTGAGCTTTCTGTGACTTCATGGTTTGTCAGCCCATTAACATTGCTGATATTTAGAGCAATGGCAATAGCAATTACATGGATGAATTTTTTATTATGTTTATTTAAATTGGCTGATAGATACTTTTTTTATTTTGAAACTAGCATTAGCTAAACAAGAAGGAAAAACTGTTGTTTTTACTAGTTGGGGCCTGAATGGCAACCTTTTGGATTACCAAGAAAATGTAGATTATTAAATTTGGTGATATTAGATAGAGGAGAAAGAAAGGATAGTTAAAGATGTCAAAGATTTTATTAGCAATGGCAAATGGTATAATGACAGAGGTGAGATAGATCACATATACTTTATTTAATAATAATATGGTTACATTTGTTATTGTTAATATCATGAATAATAAATGTTAGGAATACCATATAGGCATGGGTATTTGTTGTATGGACCACCAGGAAGTGGTAAAAGTAGTTTTATACAAGCACTTGCAGGGGAGTTGGAATATAATATTTGCATATTAAATTTAGCAGAATTGGGATTAACAGATGATCAATTAAATCATTTGATGAGCAATGCACCCCAATGAAGTATTATATTATTAGAAGATATTGATGCAGCTTTTAACCCAAAGCAATTGCCAACAACTACAACAGAAAAACAGCAATATCATGAAAGGTATGAGAAAAAAATTGCTACATTTTAAATATATAAATGCTTTATTTATTGTAATAATGTAATATATTCTTTATTAATTTATTAATTAATTTTTAGCCATAATCAATCAATGGTAACATTTAGCAGATTATTAAATGCATTGGATGGAGTGGCATCATCTGAAGAGCATATAATATTTATGACAACTAATCATTTGGAACATCTTGACAATGCATTGATTAGACCTGGTAGAGTTGATGTCAAAGAGTTGTTTGATAATGCAAGTGAATACCAGATTCATAATATGTTTTTAAGATTTTATGAGGGGGCAGATATGTTGGCAGATGAATTTGTTAAGAGAGTGAGAGGTAAAGGAGTGAGTACAGCCCAATTACAAGGACATTTTGTGTATTATAAAAACAATGCAAAAGCAGCAGTTGCAAATTCAGATTCTGTTATGAAGAATTGGTAACCAATAATGTATAAAAGAAATTCTTATAAGTTAGTGTGACATTTTTGAGTGACTTATTGTTTTTTATAATTTATATTTCCTATTATTCCTACATTCCTGAGCTTAACTACTCAAAATGTTTGTTTTTTTTTTGTTAAATAATCACATACAAGGGAGTAAATACATAAAAATGAATTATTCTATTTGCAATTGAATAAATGCCCATGTGCACTTAAGTAATACACCCTCTTTTTTACAAATTAAATCATGATTTGGTTTGTGTTGGAATGTTCATCATTTATTACAAACATATTTTGATTAATATTAAATTATATATCATGAATTAATTGTTATCAAGTGCTGGCAATTTTTTTGAGATTTGAATTAAATATATTAGTCTTCAAATCAAGTGATTTGTATAGAAAAATAACTATTACTACATAAAATTGTTGTACCAAACAAATTTCAGCAAATAAATGTTATCAGAATTTATTTATTAATAATAACATATATAATATACACACATATACACACACATTAGGATAAAGATTTGAATAAACTTCCAAGATCTACATATCTTGTTGCACATTTTGTCAGATAACCATCAACTGTTGTTTTTAATAATTCAAAATTTTTTTTACCAGTTTCATCTTTAATAAACATTACTTCATTAGTAAAAATCAAAAAAAAATTTTTTTTTCATTAATAAAATCAATAAAATGAATAATAATAAATTACCAAAGTTTAAAGATGGATTTAGATTTTTCAATTTTTCATAATCGAATAGGTATGAATAATATAGTAGTTGATTATACAACATTATATGGTTATACTATTTAATAAAAAATTTTTATTAGAAGAATT